ATCAATTATAAATGAGTAAAAAAGAAATAACATTAATAAACACTTTTAACAAATAGAACTGGAAAAAAGAACATTTTAGTAACTATATCTAACTTTTTTATGAATACAATTCAATTATAAAGTCATACTTGTATTACACTTCGCCAACACTCTTAACTCAAAATTTTTGACAGACGGTTATATTTGGGAAGATTAAACATCGTAGCGTAGCTGAATAATCGTTCCACAGCAGCTGATGATGGAAGTGGACAATTATATTTTATAAAAATTTTTTTTATGCATGGATATATTCAATAAATTTAAATCCGCTCTAGTTTCGTTCATATATTTCTCAAAGGTAATTTCGATTTCACTTTTACAATAAAAGAGGATATTACTTTTTTCATTTTGTTTACCATCTACACTAAAATCAAAGAAATCATCAGTATTATCGGTTTCAGCAGAGATTTGAAGATCAGTAATTGGTTCAATAGTCGACAGAGCATCTTTAATAGCTTGGATAGTTTTTTTTCGTGCATCAACACTTAAACATTTAATCCATCTCAATTTGTGTTGTGGGTGAAAAGCTGCTGCCACAGCACTCATACTACCTTCATGTTCAACTTCAAAAAATCTCTTATGTCTACCAGTTAACGCATCAATACGTCCTGGAACTAGTTCATCGCAATAATGCCAACTTAAATTTTGAATTTTTTTCAATTTATTTTTGATAGAAATGAGAGTGGGCAGCAAGTCACCATAAAAGCATGATTTTTCATCTTGTAAACGATCAATAGCGTTTGCCAAAGGTTTACAGCAGTGCAAATATTCTTCGATAAATCTAGAAAATCAATTTAATGCATTTATTAATTAAGTGTAAATTTTAAAAACATGAAGCGTGATATTTTTTATTATAACTATAGAAATTCCAATGCAACTATCTTCAAATATAAAATAATAGGTTCACAGTTTTGTGGAAATATTTATTTGATGTTTATTTAAATTTTCACAACGTTTCGATGGTTTCCCGACTTCCTCAGGTGCTAGAACAATTAAATACAAAAATACTTTACAATAATATTCGTATAATTACATTACAAAAACATTATCATAACATTGTATCACTTGGACAGTATAAACTCAACTCAAAAATTCAATTTATGACTAAGTCTAAGAATACAACAAGAACACATATTACCTCAATTATTAAACATCAATTGTTAAAATCATGTCAAATGAATCAAGGCAGGCTAACAACCTGAACTTATTCCCATAATATTCAAAATTAATTTATTCATGTTTTAATTAATAAATATTTAATTAAAAAAAAAAAAAATGTGATTTTTATTTGTATACAACCGTGTGTTTTTACAAGGAGAGGGTGGGGATTTCCACTTTTTCTCTCGCCTGTTTTTTCCACTACGTTTTTTCATACATGTATCTACCACACTTTTTTCTCCTCCCCCCTTTTTATTCCCACCCTCTCGGTAAGGTAGATTTCTTCTACCCCACCTCAATGCGTTCGAGGTAGTGGCTGTGGCCGACTTACAAGTACTGTACTGTACTGTACTCATTTGCCTGTGCCTGCCCATTTAAGCTTTAGCACAGTGACCAAGAAAAACCACAGAAAACCTCAGGTCAGTACAGTTCGGCTACTAGAGCGACCCTCAGCGGTTGTTATTGAAATCAATTTTCTAACAACCGCTGGGGCTCGAACCCGCGCCTACCGGCACGATACCCGTACAGACTAACGCATTAGTCCGCACGGTTATCGCGGCCGACTTGATAAATATTTAATTAATAAATAATAAAACCAATAACAAATATTAAATAACTAAAACTCTGTCAATACTACAATGCTCTACTCTCAAGTAATAACAGCTGATAATAATGTATTATACGTTCTCACAACAACAGTCATCTACATACTCGTATCACTAAAACTTTGAGCCCTGTCGCTATTTAAAATTACTTTAAGTACAGAACTTAAATTCTGGGTATCAGTCCTCTTATTAATTGTATTATTCATCTTAATAAAACACATCTCCTCGATGTTCCTCTTCTTCCAATGACTTTCTTGATCTAACATACGCACATCATCAAGCCTGAATCTGTGTCCGGTGTATAAATTATGTAATGCCAAAGCTGTGTACTAGATGGAGGTTCCACTTCCAATAAAACATTATAATTAATTAATTTAATCTTTTTACAATCATATCTGTGCTGGGCAATTCTCTTCTTCAGATGTTGTCTAGTTTGTCCAACATAACACTTGCCACATTCACAAGGAATTTTATAGATAATACCAAACTGGTCAAGTAAAGGTGTCTTATCTTTTAATTTTGTGTAACAAGATCTAACTTGGGCGCGCAGTAGCCTGTCGGATCCAGCCCTTGCTACCAAAGCATTGGACCGGGTTCGAGTCCGGCGTACACCAATGAATATTTTCAATATTTAAGTGTATTATTCTGCTCAGCCCAAGAAATACAAACGAGTTCCAATCTCAAAAGTTTACCCCCTACCGTAGTCGCTCATGACCTTAGTAGTTTATGCGACTTTAAAAAAATTAAAAAAAAAAAAAAAAAAAGATTTAACTTGCTTCACATTATAATACACCAATTTGATATTAGTATCCATGAAACAAGTATTAATTCTTGATGATAACTGTTTTATGAAAGGAAACCTCATAAACCTTTTGTTCCAGTAGCTTCATCAAGATTTAAATTGATCCTACTGTTGATTCTATGCCATTTCTCTACATTTGCATCAATTGCTTTCTTAATCATGGCTCTTGGATAATTATTATTTAATAATAATTCCTCAAGTTTCACCAAATTTCTTTGGTGGAACTTCTCATGAGTGTTATTTAAAATCTTAAGAGTCATGCCTTTGATGATACCGATTTTTGGCTCTGACGGGTGGTTGGACCTGTAATTTAATATTCTACCCGAGTGCGTTGGCTTCATGTACCAGTCGGTTATGATTGTACCATCCCCAGCTCTAATCACTCTTAAATCCAGGAAAGGAATGCTCCCATCAATTGTAAAAAGATTAAATTAATTAATCATAAT